CGGTTGTGGAGTGCCTTATTCTCACCCCAGCCACTTCACACTCGGCTGCAAACCACCCCAGTGCACGCTGGAGGTCCTGGTTTGATGGGGCCAACAGTGTTAAACATAGTGTTTAAAAAATACGATGAATAATCTGACCTGCTTGTCCAGCAACGTCGTCTGCAAAAAGCAGAGACGAGATCCTGTGGTCCCCAAACCGGACTCCCTCCGGCCCCTGGCTGCACCTAGAAATTCTGTCCATAAAAATAATGAACAGAACCGGTGACAAAGGGCAGACCTGCCAGAGTCCAACATGCACCAGAAACAAGTCTGACTTACTGCCGGCAATGCAATCCAAGCTCCTGCTCCAGTCATACAGGGACCAGACGGCCCTTAGCAAAGGGCCTTGGACCCGGTACTCCCGGAGCACCCCCCACAGGGCGCCGCAAGGGACACGGTCGAATGTCTTCTCCAGATCCACGAAACACGTAAGGAGCTGGTCGAGTGTTCCATGGCCAGGACGAAAACCGCATTGTTCCTTCTGAGGTTTGACTATCAGTCGAATTCTCCTCTCCAGTACCTTGGCATAGACTTTTCTGGGGAGGCTGCATCGGTCGATAGTCGGAACACACCCTCCGGTCCCCCTTCTTAAAAAGAGGGACCACCACCCCGGTCTGCCAGTCCAGAGGCACTGTCCCCGACCGCCATGCGACGTTGCAGTACCTCAGTGACTTCAGCTTGGGTGATGGACGAGTCCACCTCTGAGCCCTCAGCCTCTGCTTCCTCATCGGAAGACATGGCACCGGGATTGAGGAGATCCTCAAAGTATTCCTTCCACCGTCCGACAATGTCCCCAGTTGTTCTAATATTACCTATTCTATTACCTACCTACCTGTTCTAATATATATATATATATATATTATTGTTCTAATATTATGTTCACAATTTAAAACAATATATATTTCACTTCTGATATTTCTTTTAGTGTTACTAATTTGTTACAACTAAGCTCTTGTGTTTTTAGTTTTGGAAAGGCTACACCACCCTCCAAACTATTTAAGTGCAGTGTGTTGCTCTCATTGTAGGTCAGTGCAGCAAGTGCATGCTACTTCACCACATAGAGGAATTCCAGCTTTACAGGTCTGCCATGTGCACTGTAGCTAAGCTGCGATCAGATCCACTGGGGTGGAACTTGAATAAAGTGCAGTCTAAAGAAAGTTATGGGGGGGGTTATGAACATTTGTCTGATTGTGTTCTATAATTCAGACACATATGGCACAGTCAGAAACTTAAATGGTCATCAGGTGAAGGCAGAGAATAGGAAGAGAGTTTCAGAATAACATGAATAATTGCCACATGTGATCCTGAGCTGGTTCCCTGACATGCTTTACGTGCCCCATGGTCAGGCAGGGCTTCATAATCTCCAGCACCAACCTCTGTGGGAGCTCTGTTCAACAAGAGCTACATTTAATGAGGCACCTGACAGGTAGGTGTGAAGTCATGCTGACAGCTGCTGCCCAAGGGTGGCATCAGGCTGCTGCTCTGGTCCACTTTGGAAAATTTGCCCACAACTCCTCCACTTTCTCCTGCCACTCCCTCTGGTTATACTGAGAGTCATACACGATTGATGAAAATAGTATGGTATACAGTACATGTGTCCAAATTATTTATTCTGTGTAATGTGCATCCTCCAGCTGAGTCAAAAACTGGGTAAAAAAAAAAACAAACTGTAAATGTCAAATAAAAATTAAGGAGCAAGATACTGTTCATATTTGAACGCTGTCAGTTATGCCAAGATGCATACTGTCTGTTTTTATTTCAGAAAGCCCAATCCTGTGTCTTCCCTGAGTATCTAAAGACACCAGTCCAACTCAGTCACCGTCAGCTCAGATTTCTAGTTGGCAGTGCTAATTTTCAAGATGTCGGTACAAAGCTGAGGACAGACAGCTGTGTCTATGTGTGTGGGTGGCAGTGGACAGAATCCAACAAAGGTTCAGTGCTGAATAAATGTAATGATGGAACAAGAATGTGAGTGTGCCAGACTCTGGGAATGCAGTGATAATAAGATGTGCAGTCTCTCAGTCTCAGTAATGTTGATGGAGGGACTTTTGATCAGCCTTTTTTGTTTATTTGCTGCCATTTGAATTAATTTCTGATTATTTCATTCCTACATTCTAAAGGTATGTTTTTTTTTCATTTCACATGCTAAAATAAAATGTAATTCTTGTTAATTTAATAAAGAACTATAGGGCCCATATTCATCACGCTACAAGTCCCTAAAAAGGATTTCAAAACGGGCATACGTGTATGCAAACATTACTCTCTAACATTATATTTATGACTAAATAAGCAATTATCATTTTATTTGGTATTTTAACATTTTTACAATTTCTCAACTGATCAGATTTGTTTGACAGTGGCCAAACAGGGTTTGTAAGAAATGCCTGGAGATCTCTAAAATTTAAGAGCACTTTAAAGTCAAAACAATAAATATTATCTTATTTTTAGCTAGGAATAAAAATAATGACAAGAGCCTGGTGCTGCAAAATTGTCTATTTAGGAATTTGTACTGTGTGTAATTAAATTATTAAATTATTATTTACAGCACTTTGGCCAACTGTTGTTGCTTTTAAATGTGCTATGTAAATAAACTGACACTGACGTTGACATAACTCTGAATCGAGTACTGCATCTGTTAATTAAATCCGAATCCGTTCATATCAAGGCTATTTACATAATTTGATACATAATTGAACAGAGAAAAGTTTCAAAACATGGCACTTGACCTTTACGTGATTTGCATTGGTAAGTGCTTGCTCACTCACGCGCCTCCCCTCAGCTCACAGTACTGTGTCACGGTTGTACTTCTCTTTGTACTCATTTAAAGGTTAACAGCGGTGTGCCCACAGCATTTGAATGCCTGTGTTGATTCCCCGGCTGGCAAACTGTCAGAAGTGGAAACCGGGGATGTAAATATTACATTGTCACAAGGGAGGAGGAGGAAATGATCATTAAGAGGGTTTGTAAAACTTGAGCATTAGAAAAACAAAACTATTAAATACAAACTAGTAACAGGATCGAACTGTACTTGTGATGCACAATGGTAAAAGAAATAAGCCTGATGTGGGCTTTTAGTGCCACGTGCCATGATAAGTTTATCACTTATTGTGCCAGTGCAGGTGGACATAAGTGATTAAATTATGACTCGGTGTATATCAATATCCTAAATCAGCTCAGAGCTGACAGGCAGTT